AAAAACGAGCTTCTACTTGTTCCCTGTGAAGTATTTAGATCATTGATCACTTGAATTAAGTTTTCTTTTTCATGAGATCACAAAACAAATTGTTGCATCGATTGTACTATAAAAATAAATCTTGTGGTCTTTTGTTTGTTGTCGTGTTAATACAACAATGCTGTTTGAAAAAAGAAACTGAAGAAAAAAAATAGGACGTCAAAAAAGTTCTATGACTTACTTAAAGTCAAAAACTCCTTTACTAGATATTGTCTAAATGATCTTTACAGATTCGTTCAAGCAAATGAATTCGTTTAAAGTAGATATTTTGACAATTTTGACTTGAGACTGACTTTAGAGAAATGTTCTCTCAATATCTCAACACACTCTGTTAACTCAGTGCCTAACTAAACTCCCCAATCCTATATAGGGTATGATTTTTAAGAGCTATGATTGCTGTATACAACACTAGTGTTGTTTTCTAAGGCTTCAAAAAAATGGTCAATCATGTTTTCAAGTTGATTTCAAACCTACTACCAATAATATTTTTCTTAAAAATATCTGAATTTGATGTAGACTATCTCTCTCTCTCCCATTATTGCACTCTTTCAGTCTTTCTCATCAGGTCCTCTCTAGCTCCATGTGATTGGTTCCTTTTTCTTACTTTATTTTTTGATAGACTTGGATAATGAGGCCCAGCACCGGATTGGACGGAGCGAGGTTTAACTTACTTTGCAAGAACTAGGTCAATGCAACCATCTTATGTGATCAAAAATACAAATATATAGACCCTAGAAGCTGACTCAATGAAAAAGTAACCCACTAGATTAGCTATGGACCAAATCCAACTCTCGCCTCTCAAAATATGACATGACATAATCTCATCTAATTCAGAACATCAGGACTCCTGTCAAAACAGTTCGCTACTAGACCCAAAGTCGGCTCTAAGAGTTAGGCATCGGGCCAAGGCCCAGAGATTTGATTTGAGAATTTAATTGCATATTTTGACTACTATGATATGAATGTTGTAGGCGTAGAACAAATATCAACAGTGATTACAAAAATAGGAATTAATAAGGCCAGTCTTATTTTAACAAAGGCCAGTCTTATTTTATAAGTTAAAATACAGCAATGTAGACTTAATAAGGCCAGTCTTATTCTATAAGTTAAAATACAGCAATGTAGACTTAACAAGGCCAGTCTTATTCTATAAGTTAAAATTCAGCAATGTAGACTTTTTTTTTTTTTGACTATATGTAGACTTAATAAGGCGTGAGCTTTCAACTCATCCGCCATCAGACAAGAAATGGTTAACATTTGGCTTCTCTTCTTCCTCATCTGTATTCCTCTCGCCGCCTTCATATACAAGAACCGGCGGCAACATCAACGGAGACCACCGTCTCCTCCTGGTTTACCGATCATAGGAAACTTACACCAGATCGGAGAGTTACCGCATCAGTCTCTATGGAGGCTCTCAAAGAAGTATGGTCCTGTGATGCTTTTGAAGCTTGGAAAAGTCCCAACAGTCATAGTATCTTCCTCTGAAACAGCAAGACAAGCTCTGAAAATCCATGACCTCCATTGTTGTAGTCGCCCGAGCTCGGCAGGTACTAAAGTTTTGATCTTTATATCTTGAATCTTGATTTCAAGAAACCCCATGAATCTTTGAATCTTGATTTCTACAAACCCCCATGAATCTTGATCATTCCTTTTAGGGCCAAGAGACCTCTCTTACAACTATCTGGACATTGCCTTCTCTCCTTATGATGATTACTGGAAAGAAGTAAGAAAGCTAGCTGTTCAAGAACTCTTCAGTACTAAACAAGTTCACTCGATTCAACCCATCAAGGAGGAGGAGGTCAAGAAACTGATAGCTTCAATCGCCGAATCAGCATCTCTGAAAACTCCGGTCAACTTGAACAAGACGTTTCTAGCGTTGACTGTAAGCGTGATATGCAGGGCAGGATTTGGTGTGAGCTTTGAGGGAACTGTGCTCAACAGTGACAATTTCAATAAGTTAGTCCGTGAGGCACTCGAGATGTTGGGAAGCTTTCCTGCCTCAGATTTTATTCCCTATGTAGGATGGATCATCGACTGGTTCACAGGTTTGCAAGGGCGGAGAGAGAAAAGCGTGCAAGACCTTGATGCATTCTATGAACAAATGATTGATCTGCATAAACAGGAAAAGAGACAAGGGAGTGAAGATTTCGTGGACCTTCTATTGAAATTGGAGAAAGAAGAAGCTGTTATTGGAAACGACAAGCTCACAAGAAACCATATCAAAGCAATCTTGATGGTAAGTATTCTCATTCTTAAATGGTAACTAACAACATATGAGAGTCTCCTCAAATGTTTTTATATGATATTGTCACAGAATGTTCTTCTGGCGGGAATCGATACATCTGCAATTACAATGACATGGGCAATGGCAGAACTTGCGAGAAACCCTCGAGTGATGAAGAAAGTTCAATCTGAAATCAGAAACCATATGGGGAACAGATCAACGATCACCTTAGATGACACAGATCAGTTCCATTACCTGAAAATGGTGATAAAAGAAACATGGAGGCTACATCCTACAACACCCATTCTACTTCCAAGAGAAGTAATGTCTGAATTCGAGATCAACGGCTACACGATTCCAGTCAAGACACGGGTTCATGTGAATGTCTGGGCAATCGGGCGTGATCCAGAGACCTGGAAAGACCCAGAAGTGTTTCTCCCGGAGAGGTTTATTGATAGTGACATTGATGCAAAAGGACAACACTTTGAGCTGTTACCGTTTGGGGGTGGCCGGAGAATATGTCCTGGAATATACATGGGTACAACAATGGTGGAGTTTGGTCTGGCGAATATGTTGTATCATTTTGACTGGGATTTGCCAGAAGGCATGGTGGTCGGAGATATCGACATAGAAGAAGCTCCAGGGCTCACTGTCAACAAGAAAAACGAGCTCCTACTTGTTCCTGTGAAATATTGAAATGGTTCAATACCCAAATAAAAATGTTCCTCTTTTTATCAAAGTAGCCAACTAAGTGTTCGAGGAAATGTCCGAGAGAAACTTTCCATTAGTGTAATTTGCTTTTTGGTTTGTGTAATTTCTATTTTCTAATGGCAGAACTCAAGAAAAACCCACTAGTGATGAAAAAAGTTCAATCCGAAATCAGAAGCCAAATAAAAGAATTAGCTTCTATGGCACAGATCAGATCCATTACCTGGAATTTACATGGAAACATCAATGTCAATGGTGGGATTTGGTCTGGCCAATCTACTGTATCAATTTGACTGGAAGTTTACCAGACGGCATGAGACAGTCAAAGCTAATCGACATGGAAGAAGCTCCTAGGCTCACTGTGAGCAAGAAGAATGAGTATCTACTTGTTCCTGTGAAGTATTTGAGATAAAGTGTTCCTTTGTTTCTTTTTCTTTGTCAATCAAAAGTTCGACGAAATGTCCAATAGAAACTTTCCATTTCTGCAACTTGAATTTGGGTATCCTTGGTTCTGTTGAGTTGGAGAAATAGAAGAAGAAAAAAAATGTGTAGAAGAAGAAAAAAAATCTTAAATTAGTGTACCGAAAATCCGTTGGAAGCATGACCTCAAAATCAAACAATTTTTTAATAAAAATACAGTATAAGTGGTAGTTGGAATGTCCAACGTCTATGGAAAGATTCCTTGGTTCAAACTTAAAGGAGCGAGACCAAAAAGTTGGCTGATAAACCATATCTTTAAAAATTAATTTCTTTATGAATTAATTTTATTAACAAAAACCAGGTAAATTATACCCTTCTCCCTATGTGTCTCTTTTATTACAAAAATATCAAGGTAAAACCTACCCGATGTATGTCCGACCCGAATACCCATAAAAAATGGAATTTCTGTCAAAAAAAAAAACTTTATTAATTTGAAATCAGAAATAAAAAATTGAAATTATTAAACTGAAAATTAGGTAAACAAAACCGAACCGAATGGATTTAATTTCCAAAACCAAACACATTCGATAAACTTACCAAAAATCAAATACGATCTCCTCTTTCTCTCTTCATCTTCCCCGAATGGCTATCTCCACTTCCTTCTTTCTTTCGAAAATTCTGCAATTTCCCCTTTAACTTGAAACGACACTTGATTTTGTAACTGTTTTTTCTTCAACTTCCCTTTCTTCAATTCCCGTACTATATATTACATAATTTAGCCTTCTAACTTCATCAAGACAAACCCTAAATCCAGCCTAACTAGATAACTAAAATTCGACTTAAGGGCGTGGTATATGATTCGAACGAATCTGTACCCAAGCGCAGCGAAGAAGCAGATATGAAAGATAAAGAACCCGGAATAACACCAAACCCTCTGGCGAATGATGAAGAAACAACCCACGAAGAAATTCGGGGTGAAGAAGAACCATTGAAGGAAGCAGAACCAGCCGGTACGGACAACTGGGACAACTAGGACAACTATTTGCACAAAATTACGTTTGGCATTTGGACAACTGGGACAACTGGGATAACTGGGACAACTAAATCTCATATGATTGTGTTTCTTGTTTTTATCTCAGGATGCCGATGATGGTAGTCAACTGATGGTGCCTGAGCTTTACTTCGGTCCAACCGAGTACAGCCAGGGTTTTTCACATGTTCAAGGAGCCCAACCACATGAAGCCAAGAAGTAAAATGTCTTGTTTATGTTTAAGATTATGTGTTTTTCTTTGTGGTACAATCTTATGTTTTCTGTTTAGGGTTTAGGACAACTGGTACAATTTCCTTGATTTATTTAGGACAACTCGTACAACTTCCTTGTTTTATTTAGGACAACTCGTATAACTTAATGCGATATATTAGGACAACTGGTACAACTGCGTTGTTTTATTTAGGAGAAATAGTTCAAAATAAATCAAAGGAGAGTAGCAACATAACAAGGGGAAAAAAGGTCAATAAGAAACTGAAAAGCTCATCTTCTTCATCCTTAACGCTTTTTTATAGCTTCTTCAATGGATGCCACCTTTGACTCTAACTGATTTAACTTGGAGAAAACGGTGTCAAACAAAGCCCGCATGGCTTCTTGAGTATCATTCAACATTTCAATTTCTTCGAGTATTGCGAGATCCCACCATTTCTTGAAGCCACAACTGGGAACCTGAAATCCCGAAACTCAGAAATTCAGATGAGACTCAAATTATAAATCAAAATTGAAAACCCAATTGACTTACTTCTGGGAAATTTTTTGGGCCACAACAGCCGTAGAAGCAACCGTAATATTTCCAGCCCCTGTCAAGCCCGGAGTTGTCAGTTAAACACCCAATTGGAGCTAAGCCGCAATAACAAACCTTTGGAATTCCCTTTTGTACAGGGCATGGCAGAATGGTCTTGACTCCATTGACTTCGGGTCCCCATCTAGTGGTCATCCTGTAATCCTTCTTAGGCAAGACAGAAGAAGAGCCATCATTCTTCTTTTCAGCCAATTTCGCGAGGGCTATCTGATATTTATCCATTATGCGATGGAAACCCTAAAAAACCTATTTGGGGGCAACAATTAGGAAAGAGAATAAGAGGAGAAGAACCCCTTGACCATTTTCTATGAAAGAGAAAACGGTAAACGACAACCAAAAAAGACAAATACAGAGGAAAATAACTTATAATATTATCCTCAGCCGCCATTCTCACACGTGCATTTTCTGTTGACATCATAGTTGTACCTAGTTGTCCGGTTGTCCCAAAATTGTCATAATTGTCCTTTGGACAATTTTTAAGTTTTTTCAGTTGTCCTTTAAGAAGAACATTCTTTTTTTAGTTGTCCCCTTAACCCTTGAACATTTTATACTTGCCCCAAGGGTTTCGCGCCCATACTTTTGTATTTCCCATATTTTTACGTTTAACCTCTTATAAGATGGAAACCATTGTCAAAGAATGCCTTATACCATAAGGGTTATTTCATTAGAAACACAAATGGTATATCTTATTTTCAGAAAATAATGGGTTTATTTTAGTGTTTAGTGGTAGTCGTTGAGTATACAGTATTTAAGGGTTTAGGGCTGTATTTGTTTAATGTTTAGTAATTTAAAGAAATTAGTTTTTCCTGGTTATCATAATTGTCCTAGTTGTCCTAGTTGTCCAAATTGTCATAATTGTCGTAGTTGTTCTTGTTGTCCTAGTTTCTCACAGTTGTCCCAATTATACCAATTGTCCACTTTATACTAGTGTGCCTTCTTTTGTCCTAGTTGCAAATAGTTGTCCTAGTTGTTCGTAGTTTGTCTGGGTTTGGACGTAAATTTTTAGGTTGCACCTAATTTTTAGGTTACAAATTACTCCAAAATACATAATATTGCAAGAAATCCAAGATAATGAAAATATTCCATTACTCTTGAATCTTATCTCTTTCCAAATCTTCCATTATCTCCACATGCAATACAGATCTAAGTCCCTCTTTATCCACAATTGTTAGATAGACATACACATCACAATCATCAACAATACATGACTCATTGAGTGGCTTAGCTACCAACGGAATGTAGCTTAACTTGAGCTTCTTCTTACTATCGTTTACCCCAATCTTCTTGCATATACCATCTACAACCATCGGATATGTTACCTCATCCAAAGAGGTTTTAAATGATATAGCATAGATGGAGCTTCTTGATATCCATTTAAACTCCTCTCTTTCCTTATAATAACATCCTCCATACTCAAAATGTATGTTTGTGTGGCCGCTCATCCTCTTCTGTTCACAAAACCAAAAAAACTAAGTCATTAACGAATAACAATATTTCCTATTTTCTCACAACTGTACCAATTGTACCAGTTGTCCCACTTATCTCAATCAGTTATCCCAATTGTACCAGTTGTCCCAATACATTCCGGGTCCCAATTGTCCCAATTGTCCCAGTTGTCTCATTCCTTTCAGTTAACCCAATTCAACTCAGTTATCCCATTTGTACCAGTTGTCCCAATACATTCCGGGTCCCAATTGTCTCAATTGTCCCAGTTGTCCCAGTTGTCCCATTCCTTTCAGTTAACCCAATTCAACTCAGTTATCCTAATTGTACCAGTTGTCCAATTCTATTCAGCTAACCCTGTTGTACCAGTTGTCTCATTTCATTTAGTTACCCGAATTGTACAGGTTTTCCCATTACATTCAGTTACCCCAATTGTACCAGTTGTCCCTTTCCATTCAGTTAATCCAATTGTACCAGTTGTCCCTTTCCATTCAGTTAACCTAATTGTACCAGTTGTCCCATATCTCACTGATTCACTATACAAACCTACGATTCAACTCGATTCAACGGCAACAAGTTCAATTTTAACACTCAGAAGACTAAATCGACATATATACGCTACTCTACTATCCAATGTGCAACCTAAAACGAACGGAATTGACAAATCGATTACTAAACCCTAATCCCCAAACTGTAGAAGAAGTTACCTTATTACCAAATGACGGCTCTACAACGAGATTTGGCGAACACCATGGGTTCAGAGAAGGCCGGCGCACCGCGCCGAGTGATAATAAACAAAGACGGATCGGAGATTCGATCGGACGATTTCTGGGAAAAGATTTTCGATTTCGGATTTCGGTTTAAGATGTTAACCCAGAAATTCAGAGAAACCAGATTTGGTTTTGGTATTAGAATTTTAGAATTTTCATTTCTCAATTTTTTTTTGATTTTCGATATAAAAAAACAAACAAAAAATCAGCAATGCCATATCCCTTTTTCATTAAGGGTATTTTCGGAATATCATATACTTTATGGCACTCAGACTTATTTATGGCAGGGTAAATCAATTTTTTTTCATTTATGGCTTCTCAGCCATTAAACCAACTCAAAGTCATTATTGTGGTATACGTTTTTTTGTAGGGTTTTCTGAAAAAAAAAAATTCAATTGATATTTTTTTCCAACTGTATCCTCCACTAACGAAAAATGGTTGTCAAACTCACAAAGTCGAACTTAATCCTTTTTTTTTTGACGGTCATATTGATAAAGTTTCAAAAAAAAGAAAGTTAAGAGTAGATTTAGATTCCTTAGGGGCAGGGCTTCAACCTGATATATACAGTAGTTTATCATAATTTAACAAAAAAAAAAAAAAAAAAAAAACGGATTAGATTGCAGATTAAATTCAATATGATCTAATTTCTAAAATATTGAAGGTAAACTTGCAAAAAAAAAATGTGTCTCTAAAAATGATGGGGTCATTTGGAAGGATTTGTTTATGGACAAGAGTTTCCTCAACCTTAAATTATTATTATTTTGTCAGTTTTCATCAATGAAATTATTGAAGTGAGCTCAAAGTTGTATATTGAGACATGAGCTTTATTCACTAGTTAGATAAAAAAAAAAAAAGGTATACGAATGGCTCACATTTGGCTTCTTTCACTTGTCTTCCTAATCATTTTTCTTCTTCACGCCGCTTTCAAACGCACAAAGAGGTGGCAACACCGGAAACCACCTTCTCCTCCTGGCTATCCAATCATCGGAAATTTACATCAGCTCGGAGAATTACCACATCAATCTCTATGGAATATGTCAAAGAAGTATGGTCCTGTAATACTTGTGAAACTTGGAAAAGTCCCAACAGTCATACTTTCTTCGTCTGAAACAGCAAGACAAGCTCTTAGAGACCATGACCTCCATTGTTGTAGCCGTCCTTCATTGGCAGGTAACGTAAAGCTCACAACACATATACCACAATTTTGAGTGTTTGCTTCATGTATCTTGTATATCACTCCTGATCAGGGGCTAGAGAGCTCTCTTACAACCATGTGGACATAGCTTTCTCTCCTTATAATGATTACTGGAAAGAAGTAAGGAAGCTGGCTGTTCAAGAACTATTCAGTACTAAACAAGTTCACTCGATTCAACCCATCAAGGACGAGGAAGTCAAGAAACTGATCGATTCAATAGCCGAATCAGCTTCTCTGAAAACCCCTATCAATTTGAACAATACGTTTCTTGCTTTAACCGTAAGAGTGGTATGCAGAACAGCGTTTGGTGTGAGCTTTGAGGGAACTGTGCTCAACAGTGACAGTTTCTATAAGTTAGTCCGTGAGGCACTCGAGATGTTGGGAAGCTTTCCTGCCTCAGATTTTATTCCCTATGTAGGATGGATCATCGACTGGTTCACAGGTTTGCAAGGGCGGAGAGAGAAAAGCGTGAAGGATCTTGATGCGTTCTATGAACAAATGTTCGATCTTCATAAAGAGGAAAAAGAAGAAGGGGATGAAGATTTCGTGGATCTGTTATTGAGGTTAGAGAAAGAAGAGACTGTTGTTGGAAATGAAAACCTCACAAGAAATCATATCAAAGCAATCTTGATGGTAATTTTTGTTCTTTTACTAAAAAAGTTTAAACTATAAAGTTCTTACCATAAATCTGTATATTATATTATGCTGTTTTGATAGAAATTTTAAAAATACATATTTTCTTAATATCTTATCAAAATTCCCTAATTTTTTAACCGGCTCTAAATTTTGTGAACTGAGAAATAAATTATTATCTAACAATGGTTGTTAGATTGCACATATGTTTTACTTGTATTCCTTGTCCACTAGCAATTAGTATATGATATTCTTACATTACATGTTTCTTTATTTTTTTCTGGTTCATAGGACGTTCTTTTAGGTGGTATCGACACTGCTGCAATTACAATGACATGGGCAATGGCAGAACTTGCTAGAAACCCTCGAGTGATGAAGAAAGTTCAATCTGAAATCAGAAACCAAATGGGTAATAAATCCTTGATTAGCTTGGATGACACACATCAGCTAAATTACCTGAAAATGGTGATCAAAGAAACATGGAGACTACATCCTCCAGTACCTCTTCTGTCCCCAAGAGAAGTAGTGTCTGAATTTGAGGTCAACGGCTACAAGATTCAACCCAAGACACGGCTTCACGTGAATGTTTGGGCTATCGGGCGTGATCCTGATACCTGGAAAGACCCAAAAGAGTTTCTTCCCGAGAGGTTTATGGATAGTAACGTTGATGCAAAAGGACAGAACTTTGAGTTGTTACCGTTTGGAGCTGGCCGGAGAATCTGTCCCGCAATTTACATGGCAACAACGATGGTGGAGTGTGGTCTTGCAAATATGTTGTATAAGTTTAATTGGAAGTTACCAGAAGGCATGGTGGGTGAAGATATCGACATGGAAGAATCTCCTGGACTTACTGTGAGCAAGAAAAGTGAGCTTCTTCTTGTTCCTGTGAAGTGCTAATATCATTGATCACTTAAAACTAAGTTCTTCATCTATTATACCTTAAATACAATGAAATCTCTTGCTCCACGAAACGTGTAAGAGAATTTTCAGTTTTAATAATTTGTTATGTTTTGCAATTGACTTATACAATATTGATTCCCGCGTCGTGATAGCATCAAGGCTGCAAACATAAAGGGATGAGTATTCTCAATGGAACACATGTAGCTTGTAGTAAAGAGCATAATTTCGGAGGTTCTTAAAAAAAAAATTAGCGAGTAGAGGATAATGTTCGCTAATTTCTCACGGGTCTAGCTGACTAGCTGTGACTTTGTACAGGTCTGGTCGTCATTTTTTTGTGGGGGATTTAATATATAATAGAGATGTGCCAATATCGACTTACTATTAATTAAATTTTTGAAACCACTACTAAAATATATGAGCATGTAAACAGTAAAGGTTAAGAACCAGAATATGTGTTTTTGCTATACAGGAAGAAGAAAACGATGTCACCATCTAGAAATCCAACAAAGTTTCGTTCGTTGGATTATGTATTTTTCTTATTTAAGTTTTATTTAATTTTATTTATTTTTAAAATTTTAATTAGAAGGAGGTAAGTGAATTGGTCCAATGCAAGACGATGTGATGTCTCATGTCTGTCGCCGTGTGTTATCAGTACAGCATATTTCTTACGATCAGTATGAACCATGAGCCAGAGATATGTGTAGATCCCATTGAGAAAAAAACATAATAGGCAAAAAAAAAAAGAACATAAAGACCATGTTCAACACGGTATATTAAGTGAGGTTATTAGTTTATTTTGGATTAAAATAAATCAAAATTAGCTAATAACCTAAGAACACATCCTTAATTAATAGCTGCGAAAGGCATGTTTATTTCAGAGACAGAAAATTTGAGGAGGCCTAAAATTTTCAGGGCCAATATTTTTTCACAATTTTTTCATAAGATTAAATATATATATATATATATATATATATCATATATGTGGCCATCTAATTTGTAACAATAAAAAGTAATCTTTTTGAGATATAAGCTGTCGAAACTAAATTTCTTTTTTGCGAGTCACTTCACACGCGAATGGAGATAGGGGATGACGTAAACTTACTTGACGATAGTGTGGAGATAGCCTTACATTCAGTTTTTATTTTTAACTTACTTATTCCGTCTCAATTGTTTTGCTATAGATCTCTCTAATCAATAAATTAAATTAAAATCACAAATTTATTTAGGAAAATGTATATATTTCAATTATATAACATCATTTGAATTCAAAAACTCGAACATACATTTTTTGACGAAAAAATGGTTATAAATCACACGTTTGAGTTTATATTTATTTTAAAATAGTAAAAATAATTTTGTATAATTGTAACAGGAAAACCGAATAAGCTAAAACCGGACCAAGCCGGAGATGATAAACGCACGGCTGCGTAAAGAGAAAACAAAGTCGGTAGAGACTAGACTCTAGAGACTAGAGAGTCGTATTTAGTAAAACTTACAAGGGTCACTCTTGAGTCTTTTTTGCTATACACTCTTGAGTCTTCAATATCTCAAGGCTAACTACACATGCAATAAACGACATGCAACTTTAAAGTATATATCATTATTATACATATAAAAACCGACTTACGTTGTGGAAATAATAATAATAATTGGTCTTATATTCCTAATTTTGCGTACATTCAGTCCGACCTGTGTATCCCGCATTTCAAAACGTGTAAACGGTGTTGTCTTGGCTTAATACTTGTTACTCTTATCTAGTTATCTCCAACCAAAAAAAAAAAAAAAAAACAGAGCGCAAAACAGAGGAAAGTAGGAAACGTAAACAATGGTGATTCTTCTGTCTTTCTTCTTGGTTCTACTCTTTCCCGTTCTCTTCTCATTAATTTACACCAAGATGATCAAAGACTCGAAACAGAATCTTCCTCCGAGTCCTCCAAAGCTTCCCTTCATCGGAAACCTACACCAGCTCCGAGGACTACTTCACATATGTCTTCACGATCTCTCCAAGAAACACGGACCCGTGATGCTTCTGCGTTTTGGGTTTGTCCCAGTTGTCGTAATCTCATCGAGTGAAGCAGCTGAAGAAGTCCTTAAAACCCATGACCTAGAGTGTTGTACACGACCCAAGGCTCTAGGAATGCAGACTTTTTCGCGAAATGGTAAAAACATTGGTTTTGCGTCATACGGTGAGGACTGGAGAGAGCTGCGCAAGCTTGCTATTCTTGAGTTCTTCAACACGAAAAAGGTACGATCTTTTAGGTATATCAGAGAGGAAGAAAATGACTTGATGATCAAGGAACTAACTGAATCAGCTTTGAAGCAATCTCCAGTGGATTTGGGCAAAATCCTTTTCTCTCTAAGTGCGAGTATCGTATTCAGATAGGCCTTTGGACATAATTACTTCGAAAGCAAGCAAATCAATAAGGAAAAGATCGAAGACTTGATGTTTGAAGCTCTTGCAAATATGGCTTTTAAATTATCTGATTTTTTCCCTGTTGCTGGTATTGGATGGTTTATAGACTTTGTGTTAGGACAACATAAGAGACTTCATAACGTTGTCGCGGAAGTTGATACTTTTTTGAAGAAAGTGGCTGATGACCACTTGAAGAATAATCATGGAGTAAAAACTCAAGATCGTCCTGATATTGTCGATGTGATGTTTGATACGATAAATAAACAACAACAAGATGATTCATTCCAGCTCACAATTGATCATCTCCATGGAGTCATCTCGGTAAGTAAAGAAACTTTACTTCAAGTTTCTTGAATCTAAAACCTGACCTAAACAACTTTCTTGACCAGGATATATTTCTGGCTGGAGTAGACACAAGTTCCATCATCATGATTTGGGCGATGGCAGAGCTCATGAGAAACCCGAGAGTGATGAAGAAAGCTCAAGACGAGATTCGAACAAGTATAAGAATCAAACCAAAAGAGAATATCTCGGAAGAAGATCTCGACAAGCTTCAATACCTGAAGCTTGTGGTGAAAGAAACCTTAAGACTACACCCACCTGCTCCAATGTTACTCCCAAGAGAAACAATGAGTCATATCAAGATTCAAGGCTACGACATTCCCCCAAAAACCATGCTAGTGATTAACGCATGGTCGATAGGACGAGATCCTAAACACTGGGAAAATCCAGAAGAATTTATCCCGGAGAGGTTTATGAATTGTCCTGTGGACTACAAAGGACAGAGCTTTGAGATGTTACCTTTTGGTTCTGGTCGAAGGATGTGTCCAGGGATGGCTTTTGGGACTGCGACGGTTGAATTGGGACTCTTGAACTTGCTTTACTTCTTTGACTGGAAAATACCTGAAGGAAAAGATATGGACATGGAAGAAGCTGGTGTCGTTACTGTTATTAAGAAAGTTCCTCTTGAGCTTCTTCCTATTCTTCCGCAGTAATGGGGTCCCAGAATCTTGAGTTACAAGAAGTTGAACTATGTAATAATAAGATCAGACCTCAGACTAGAGTTTGTAAGACGTTAGACTAGATTTGACTTTTGTTCGGATTATAATTGAGAGAGTTTGCTTTTGCTTTATGATTGCTCATCTTTCCTTGTTATGAATAGTTAACATTATTGGTCGAAATTCATTCTTTCCTAAATCTTTTGCACCAAGTAATCTTTATTTGTGTGTGACTGATACAACGCTTTTTGGAGACTTCATGAAGAAAAAATTGAATATGTTTTTCTACTAAAATAAAAGACCAACACAGGTCCTAATCTAAAATATGGTAATATTCGTTCTTTCCAATTATAAGATTTACTAAGATGTAAATCATACATTGTATACTAAATAGTACTCCCTCTGTTCAGAATTATTTGATGTTTTAGAAGGTTTTTTTTGTTCAGAATTATTTGATGTTCTCACTTTTCAATGCAAAATTTAATGAATTTTTATAGTTTTTGACCTTTTATATTCTGCAGATTGTTTTTTATTGGCTGAATGATATTTAAATGAATTATAAATAATATTTTTAGTATAGAAAAAATAAAAATTAAATGAATCCTTAAACTGTGTGCAAAAACCTTAAACATCAAATAATTCTGAACAGAGGGAGTAGTATTGTTCCTTTATTTGATTCTTCTTTCTATTTTTTCTTTAATATATTCCATAATTAGTACTTATATTCTTCACGAGTGTTCTGGTTTTCTTTTTTCTTTTAATTTATATTTAAAAAAAAAAAACAGAAACGTCATATAGTTTTTAGAAAGCCGTTACAAAAAGAAATAATAACAAAAAAAAAGCCTTCAGCGGTTACACGAGTGTTGTGTCTTTCCATTTTCTTACATTTTTCCTAAATAAATTTCATTTTGCCACGTATGAAATCGTATAATTGCAACTACATTTTTCTTTTATCGTGTGTTGATATTTTGACGTATTTTACAAGAATTTTTGGCCTCATTCTCTCAGTCTTCACCTCGAGCTTATCCTCACTGACGATAATAAACGGCCACTGTGTCCAAACCGACGAGTGTGGCCGTATGTAAAAAAAACGTTAATGTTATGCCTTGATACTTTGTTTCTCTCTGGAAAAAACAGAGCACTTTTGTCAAAAAAGAAAAAAAAAACAGAGCACCAAACAGAGAAATCAAAACAACGGCGATTCTTCTGCCTTTCCTCTTCCTTCTATTACTTCCCGTTCTCTTATCGTTAATCTACACTAAGAAGATCATTTCGAAAACTAACCTTCCTCCGAGCGCACCAAGGCTTCCGTTCATCGGGAACCTACACCAGCTTCAAGGATTGCTTCATAAATGTCTTCACGATCTCTCCAAGAAACACGGACCCGTGATGCTTCTCCGTCTAGGGTTTGTCCCAATGGTCGTGATCTCATCAAGTGAAGGAGCTGAAGAAGCCCTTAAAACACATGACCTTGAGTGTTGTACAAGACCTGTCACTATCGCCTCAAGGGTTTTCTCGCGTAACGGTAAAGACATTGGCTTTGGGGAATACGGTGAGACATGGAGAGAGCTACGTAAGCTTGCGGTTCGAGAGTTTTTCAGCGTGAAAAAGGTTAGATCCTTCAGGTACGTTAGAGAGGAAGAAAATGACTTGATGGTCAAGAAACTGAGAGAATCAGCTTTGAAGCAATCTCCCGTGGATTTGAGCAAAACCCTTTTTTGCCTATCTGCGAGTATCGTATTCAGAACCGCCTTTGGACAGAGCTTCTTCGAGAACAAGCATATCGATGAGGAAAGGATCGAAGAACTGATGTTTGAAGCTCATAGAAATATGTCTCTCAAATTCACTGATATCTTCCCCACTGCTGGTCTTGGATGGTTTATGGACTTTGTGTCAGGACAACATAAGAGGCTTCACATTTGTTTCGATGAGGTTGATACTTTTCTTAATCATATAATCGATGAACATCAATCTAAGATCTACACGCAAGATCGTCATGATTTCGTCGACTTGCTCTTAGAAATGATACATAAACAAGAACAAAATAAATCTTTCAAGCTCACCATTGATCATCTCAAAGGAATCAGCCAAGTAAGCGAAAAAATCTCTTTACTTCATGATTCTCGAATCAAACCTGTATATCTTTAAATAACAATCTAATGTCTTTTTTGTTGACCTAGAATATATATTTTGCCGGAGTAGACACAAGCGCGGTCACCATGATTAGGGCGATGGCAGAGCTCGTTAGAAACCCTAGAGTGATGAAAAAAGTCCAAGAAGATCCAAACTTGCATTGGAATCAAACAAAAGGAGAGAATCGTGGAAGAAGATCTTGATAAGCTTCAATACTTGAAGCTTGTGGTGAAAGAAACATTGAGACTACACCCAGCAGCTCCTCTATTACTCCCAAGAGAAACAATGAGTCAAATCAAGATTCAAGGCTACGACATTCCGCCAAAAACCATTCTAGTGGTTAACGCTTGGTCCATAGGACGGGATCCAAAACACTGGAAAGATCCAGAAGAGTTTATCCCGGAGAGGTTTATCGACTGTCCGGTGGATTACAAAGGACATAGCTTTGAGATGTTACCATTTGGTTCTGGACGGAGGTTGTGCCCGGGAATGCCTTCAGCGATTGCCACCATTGAATTAGGACTCTTGAATTTGCTTTACTACTTCGATTGGGGGTTGCCTGAGGAGAAGCAAGATGTGGACATGGAAGAAGCCGGTGTCGTTACTGTTGTTAAGAAAATTCCTCTTGAGCTTCTTCCTATACTTCGCCAGTGATGGGGTCACAGGGTCTAGGAAGACGAGGAGAAGTTCAATTGTGTAATAGATCAGACCTAAGACTAGAGTTATGATGTTATTAAAAAAAAAGGGAAGATGACTATAGTCATGTTGTTGTTTTCAAGAATAAAAAAAAATTGATGGGAAAATTAATGTTGTTATTTTGCTAAAAATTGATTTGATGCAACGGTTTGTATCTACCTTCAACATCCAAATGTGTATCATCGATATTAAGTGTATTCAGATCATTATTTGTTTTTTTTAAACCGTTGGATGTTGATTGTTGCATTTCGTTTCCCACTTGGGCGGGAACAAATTTTTTCGAACGGAAATATGTATGGAATTTCGCAGTGTTTTGGAAAAAAAGAAATCAAATAGTTTTGAACTTGATTTAGGAGCAGTGTTTTAGGATTTAGGAATTGAACTTTGATTGGTCTAGGTTCAGATATTTTACATGAGTTTTTAAGATGAGTGTTTCTTAACCTCTCAAAGCTTATCATCACAAACAGTAAACGACATGTTAACTTTATATGAATAGATAGACTCTAACGTTTGTTGCCAAGGTCAAGACCCCTTTACGCTATGTGTTTGTTTTATTTTCTTAATACTACTTATTTGATTTTTTTTTGTTTCTTTGTACCTTCTTAATTATTATTGTGCTGTAGTTTGTACTTTATATTGTTACAAGTGTTCCATCATTTTATTTTCTCATATTTTCCCAATATAATTTTGTATTCCTTTTCAATATGCACCTATCAAAATATAAAATCGTATTATTACAAATACGTTTTTTAATATGTTAATTGTTGATAGTTTAAATAATTACACGTATTTAGGAGAATCAACTAACTCGTGAACTCGTGATAATTTAGTGGTTCAAAAAATTCACTCTAAATGATATTTTTAGCAGAGTTTTTTCTACAATTTCAATCATCTTTGGCCATATATAAACGTTATCAGTGGTTGAAGTAAAAAAAAAAAAAAAAATCGTTATCAGTGGCAAAAAATACCAAAATTTGTATGCATCTCTGAGGATTAAGTCTGAGTTTCGACCTAAAATTCTCCCAATTAACAAAAAAATAAAAATAAAAATGTACGAAAATCTTGGACCTCACTCTCTTAGCTTCATGTCAAGCTTATCCTCACCAGAGCCGGCCCAATAGGTTTTTGGCGTGTGACAACATTAAAAAGACATGTAAGATGTACCTTTATATACATCCAAAACGGACCGACCAACGTGTCCGTTGTTTATAACACCTTCACACTACCATATTTTGTCAAACTAGTAAAGAACGTTGTTGATACGTCTTAAAACAAAGCACAAACTAGACGAACGAAAACAATGGCGATTATTTTGTCTTTCCTCTTGCTTCTGCTCACCTTGATCTTCTTGAAGAAGATCAAAAACTCAAAAAAAAATCTTCCCCCGAGCCCACCAAAGCTCCCGTTCATCGGAAACCTACACCAGCTCCAAGGATTGCGTCACCGATGTCTTAACGATCTGTCCAAGAAACACGGACCCGTGATGCTTCTCCGTCTAGGATATGTCCCAATGGTCGTAATCTCATCGAGTGAAGCAGCTAAAGAAGCTCTTAAAATACAGGACCTTGAGTGTTGTACACGACCTAACACTATCGCTACAAGGATTTTCTCGCGCGACGGTAAAAACATCAGCTTTGCGGTATACGGTGAGGAATGGAGAGTGCTGCGTAAGCTTGTGGTTCGTGAGTTTTTCAGCGTGACAAAGGTTCGATCTTTCCGTTATGTTAGAGAGGAAGAGAATGACTTGATGGTCAAGCAACTGAAGGAATCGGCTTTGAAGCAATCTCCAGTGGATTTGAGCAAAACCCTCTTTTGCCTAGCTGCAAGTATCGTATTTAGAACCGCCTTTAGTCAGAGTTTCTTTGAGAACAAGCATATCAACAAGGAGGATATTGAAGAACTGATGTTTGAAGTTCAGAAAAATATGTCTTTTAAATTCTCTGAACTCTTCCCCGTTGCTGGTCTTGGATGGTTTATGGACTTTCTGTCAGGACAACATAAGAGACTTCACAACGTTTTCAACGAGGTTGATACTTTTTTAAATCATATAATTGATGATCATCAATCTAAGAACCCAAACCAAGATCGTCCTGATATCGTCGACTCGCTCTTACATATGTTACATACACAAGAACAAGATGAATCTTTCAAGCTCACCATTGATCATATCAAAGGCATCAGCCAAGTAAGCAAACGAATTTCTTTATAATTACTTCATGATTCTTGAATCAAATCTGTATATCCGTAATTAACTTATTAATAATCTAATGTGTTTTTGTTGACCTAGGATGTATATCTTGCTGGAGTAGACACAAGCGCCATTACCATGATTTGGGCGATGGCAGAGCTCGTTAGAAACCCTAGAGTGATGAAAAAAGTCCAAGAAGAGATCCAAACTTGCATTGGAATCAAACAAAAGGAGAGAATCGTGGAAGAAGATCTTGATAAGCTTCAATACTTGAAACTTGTGGTGAAAGAAACCTTGAGACTACACCCAGCAGCTCCTCTGTTACTCCCAAGAGAAACAATGAGTCAAATCAAGATTCAAGGCTACGACATTCCGCCAAAAACCCTTCTAGTGGTCAACGCATGGTCGATAGGACGAGATCCTAAACACTGGGAAAATCCAGAAGAATTTACCCCGGAGAGGTTTATCGATTCTCCGGTGGATTACAAAGGAAATAATTTTGAGTATTTACCGTTTGGTGCTGGACGAAGGATGTGCCCAGGAATGGCTTCAGGGATTGCGACCATTGAATTGGGACTCTTGAATTTGCTTTACTACTTTGATTGGAGATTGCCTGAGGAGAAGAAAGATATGGACATGGAAGAAGCTGGTGATGTTACCGTTGTTAAGAAGGTTCCTCTTGAGCTTCTTCCTATTCTTCGCCTGTGATGGGGTCACAGAGTCTTGAAGAACAAGAGAAGTTGAACTCTGTAAGTGATCAGACTTAAGACTAGAGTTATGTTGTTGTTGTTTTTTTTAAAAAAAAATAAAAAATAAAACTTGTTGGGAAATCAATTTTGTTATTCTGCTAAAAATTGTTTGTTGCACCGGTTTGTATCTTGAGGTTGTATTCTCAACATATAAATGTATCATCCATATTCATATTTATATTCTTTGTTTTTAATACCGTTTGTGTAGTTGGATGTTGCATTTGGATTCAGTTTTGTTATCTTTGAGATTTTATACAAAAAATGGATGCATTCTGTCTAAATATCGTTATGTTAATAGGTTTTTTATGATCAAATTAATTTTTCAAAATTTAATTTCTTAATCAAATGATCAGAGAGTTTTGTATAAAATAATCAAATAGTTGTGAAGTGATTGAAGAGCAATGTTGTAACTTGTACGTTTCCTTGGTTGAAAGGGTTTAGTAGACATAAAATCACTGTCTTGAGGGGATCCCCTGTCTTGAGTCATGTGGATATTTATTATGCTTCCTCTATTTCGTAGAGTTTGATGTTCTGGATATTTTAAGTAGATTAAGAAACAGTAAATGTTTAGTTATAAATATATTATCTTCTTTCTCTAAACATTTTTTCATAACTTTAAACCAATAATTATTTAACAATCTTAATTAATATCTTTAAAAGTATATCATTTATTATCATTAACTTATAAAAAATAATATCTTTAACTATTTTGTGATAGTTCTCTGGTTTATCTAAACTATACTATAGTATAAATCTGGATACCCAAAATCCGTTTTGATCCAAAGAGTTTAAATTTATTATCCAGATGCAGATCCCTGTTCTGTTAGATATTTATTGTTTTCTGGAACGAGGGGCATCTAGAGGATAATTTAACCTAGATACATGTCATATGCCCACCATTTGAATTACCTCGGAATTTTTTTATTTTGAATCTATGATTGTCTTTTTGACTATTGTCGAAAACGACCCGTGAAATACAGATTAGCCGTGCAAAAATCATCCTCTTTAAGTCTAAACTCCTAAAAAAAAATTTATACCAAGTTTGAAATACTTTTATCAAAAAAAAAGTTTGAAAAGTCTAATTTCATTTCTCTTTAAATTTAGTTCTTCTTCACTCGGAAAACATAAAAAGGAAAAAAGCAGAGCAAGAACACAAAAATGTCAATTTTCCTCTGTTTTCTCTGGCTTTTACTACTTCTCTTAGTAACATTAGTCTTCACACAAAAATTCCAATCCTCAAAACTAAAACTTCTGCCGGGCCCACAAAAACTTCCGATCATCGGAAACTTACACAACCTCGAAGGATTACTACACAAATGTCTCCAAAAACTCTCCGAAATCCACGGACCAGTGATGAAACTCCACTTCGGATTTGTCCCTATGGTCATAGTCTCGTCAAACCAAGCAGCAGAAGAAGTTCTCAAAACCCATGACCTAGATTGTTGCAGCCGACCAGAAACCATAGCGACAAAGAAACTCTCTTACAACTTCAAGGACATCGGATTCGCTCCTTACGGCGAAGAATGGAGAGCGTTGAGGAAGCTCGCTGTGATCGAGCTATTCAGCTTGAAAAAGCTCAACGCTTTCAGGTATGTTAGAGAAGAAGAGAATGACTTGTTGGTCAAGAAACTCTCTGAAGCTTCTCAGAAACAATCTCCTGTGAATCTGAAAAAAACCCTTTTCACTTTAACCGCTAGTATCGTGTGTAGACTTGCCTTCGGTCAAAATCTTCACGAATCCGAGTTTATTGACGAAGATGGTATGGAGGAATTAGCGTCTAGGTCGGAGAAGCTTCAGGGGAAATTCGCTTTCTCTAATTTCTTCCCCGGAGGTTGGATTTTCGATAGAATTACTGGTCAAAGCAAGAGCTTGGAAGGACTTTTTTCAGAACTCGACGGTTTTTTTAACCTAGTGCTCGACGATCATCTAAAGCCAGGAAGAAAAGTATTGGAGAGTCCAGATGTTGTGGATGTGATGATTGATATGATGAATAAACTAGGCCAAGATGGTTCTTTTAAGCTCACTACTGATCATATCAAAGGAGTCATCTCTGTAAGCATTTTTAACTAGTCTCACTTTTAGTGGTTTTTCTTTTTGTTAACCTTAATTTTAAATGTGGTATCTGACTCAGTTAATATAGTCTAATGTTTTCCATTAGTATTGGCATATACTGTCACAATCCGGACTCAAGCAGTAGGTATTTTTGTGTGTGCATGTGGGGTATGCGTTGCAAATGAAAAAGGGATCAAATTAATTGCGGGTCATTTGATAGAATTTAAACTAGTTTAATCCAGTTTCTAAAATTCTTTAGTCTTTATAAAAGTCGTTAAACCTACTATGAGCTTTATCTAGATAAAAATATGTACAAAAAAAAATTGTATATTAGAATATGTTATTTTGTGATATTTTGTTCTCATAACATCTTATTATATACCTCATAATCTCATATACATGTGACACAAGCAGACAACGTTATGTTTGAATGCATGGTAACAATCAATTTCGGTGGGTGAGTTAAGGACACTAAAATAATAATCTTATTTTTAGTCATATATAATACTCCATTCTTCCATGTGTCATCAAAAATTATCATATGATGAATTAAATTGTATTAATTCTTCAAAAATTATCTATAAACCCTTCTCTATACTTTTATTATGTATTTTTTTCTCTCTCTTCCTCTTGTATTATGGTCATGATTCGAGACTCTTGAACTAGTATATGACATTATGAATTCATCTCTAATTACACCCTTTTTTTGCAATTGGATTTAGGATATATTTCTTGCCGGAGTAAACACAAGTGCGACGACCATACTTTGGGCAATGACAGAGCTAATAAGAAATCCAAGTGTGATGAAGAAAGTGCAAGATGAGGTTAGGACAGTACTTGGAGAAAAAAGAGAGAAAATCACAGAACAAGATCTTAACCAACTTAACTACTTCAAGCTAGTGATAAAAGAGACATTCAGATTACACCCAACAGCTCCACTTTTGTTACCAAGAGAGACAATGTCACCAATCAAGATTCAAGGCTACGACATTCCAAAAAAAACTCAGATCATGATCAACGTTTACGCGATAGCACGCGATCCAAAACTTTGGGAGTATCCGGAAGAGTTTAAACCGGAAAGATTTGTTGATAGTATTGTTGATTACAGAGGACTTAACTTCGAGCTTTTGCCTTTTGGTTCTGGTCGAAGGATTTGTCCCGGTATGACAATGGGGATCGCAATGGTCGAATTAGGATTGTTGAATTTGCTTTACTTCTTTGATTGGGTATTGCCTAAAGGAACAACAGTGAAAGATATCGATATGGAAGAAGAAGGTGCGATTATTATTGGCAAGAAAGTTCCTCTTGAGCTTGTGCCAATTCGTCGTCATTGAACAAGTTGAAAAAAAAAAAGAAAAAAGAGAAAATGCTTTCTTTTCTCTGTATGTTTCATTGTGTAGTGAAGTAATTATCTTATATTTCTATGATTCGTACGTTTATATATTTTGCATTGTGGCCTGGTTATTATATATATTGCATACTAGATATTAATAAATGCGTGTAATGAAGGTTTGATATCGAAAATGATAGATAACCGGGAAGTTTAGTTAGCTTTTTTAATCTATCACATTAATATAACTAGGGTTCAGTCCGCGCTTCGCGCAGATTTTATTTTATATTTTTATGTGTTTTCTATTTTTATATGTTTTTTTTAAATAATGTGTTAGATAAATTTTTTATAGTTTAATAGTTTTTTTCTATATTTGCATTGTACAATCCTTATTAGTATTTGTATATAATAACAAATTTTCTTAATTATGTTATTAATTTCTGTTAATTTTTTTTATTTCATGTACTTTTGTATTTTGTCTGTCATTATTGTGTGATTTTTATACAGTATTAAATTTTTTTTTTGTTAATGTTCTACACGTTGCGCAGTAATAATTTTTAATCATTTATTCTTACAAATTTTTGAAATTTAAACATCATATTTATCCATTTTTGTTAATTTTTTTCTTCTTCTCCATTTTCATATTTTCATATTTTGATATCTTTATCTTCTGTTCTTTTTCTTTGTTTTCATATTTTTCAAAATTCTTTTTCATCAGCTTTGTGTTCTTTTTTTTTTATCCATATTCCTCTTCATGGTCTTTAATTTCTATTATTTTTCATCTTTTTAATATTTTCTGTTTTTGTATTTTGATTTTTCTTCTTCCTTCTATTTTTCTTATTATTTTTTATTATTTTTTTTTTTAATTATCGTCATTTTTAAACATTTTTTCAATTTAATAATTCATTTTTAAGAATATATATATTTTTAATCCAGTTAGTATTACAATTTTTTTAATTATTAATATCTAATTATCATTTATTTTTTATTTATACTATAATTTTTTTATTTAATTTAATTTATACTAAATATTTGTTATTAATATTTTATTAAATGCATACTTTAAATATACTTAAATGTTAAGCTTTATGAATTTGCTGATGTGGATAGTCTAGATGGAGAGAAAACTCTCTCATTATATAATAGATTTTTCTTATTATTTTTCTTATTATTTTTGCTTTTTTTAATTATCGTCATTTTTTAAACATTTTTTCAATTTAATAGTTTATCATTTTTAAGAAAATAGATATATTTTTAATCCAGTTAGTATTACAATGTTTTTAATTATTAATATCTAATTATCACTTATTTTTTATTTATACTATAATTTTTTTTAATTTAATTTAATTTATACTAAATATATTAATAACAAACATTAATATATTTATTAAATGCATACTTTAAATATACTTAAATGTTAAGTTTTATGATTTTGCTGATGTGGATAGTTTAGGAGAGAAAACTCTTTCATTATATAATAGATTTTATGTACTATAATTAAAGAAATATAATTTTATGTAAATTTAGATAAATTGGCGTATTTAAAGGCATTTTATGAGCATAAACTTGTGCTAGACTAGTACATTCGTTTTGGTTATGCTTTAAAAATTTTATTTATTTTAAACTCGACAATGATAATCTATTCTTTTTTCGTGTTTCGGTTGTGTGATTTATCTACAAAAATATTTACAGACTTCAAC